ATTATTATTATTATTATTATTATTATTATTATTATTATTCTTATTATTATCATCATCATCATCATCAACATCATCATCATTATCATTATCATCATCATCATCATCATCATCATCATCATCATCATCATCATCATTATTATCATTATTATCATCATTATCATCATTATCATTATCATTATCATTATCATTATCATTATCATTATCATTATCATTATCATTATCATTATTATTATTATTATTATTGTTATTATTATTGCTACTACTATAAAATTTCTCCACTCCATAGTTCTGCCAATTCCTTGCCTCACAAAGTGTTTACAAATGCAATACAATAAATGCTTCGAAAACAAAACCATAATAGCACAAGGGAATTTGCTCATGTTCTCATGGCAAGGGAGCCACTGGTTGTAAGTGCATCGATAGGATCTAGAATCAGTATAACAAGTTTCTTTAAGTATAGATGAGACCAAAAGTGGCTACTTATTTAAATTATCGTAGTCTAAGATATAAACTTCAGAAGGCCATCAGCAATTGTTGATTTGAGAAATATTGGTATCTAAGACAGTTAATCTAAAGCCCTTACTAGCTTTGTAAATTCCCCTAGTATGTAGCCCTGATTATATATGGCAACTCTTATTTACATGTGGGGATGATCAGAAAGCCATGATTTGTGATATTTCTTAAAGCACAAATTCGTCAACTCATCAAGCATTTATGTGATATATGCACAATGAGCATGAGTGAACACAATGAGAAGTACTCTATGATGATGGGTTCTGGATTCCACTGCTCATCAGTACAATGTAGGTTCTTTGATATATCTAACTACAACCTGAGATTTGCCCATACCATTTATTTTCAATGTGGACTTATATCTTTCCATGGTTTTTGCACTAAATTATTTTCTCAAATATTTCTTGGAAGACTTTTTTTAGATTTTAATTGCATATTTCAGTTTTATATAGAATAAACAGTATATCATGAAATACTATCTAATTCATCAGCTCCTAGTTTTTGGCTGTGGATAGACCAACATGGTCATCTTTGCTATGATTTATAAAATTTGGTTGCCAATGACCTCGGTTATGCACTGTAATTTGGTCCGAATCTTTGCATTTTTCAGAAAAACTTAGAAACAAAAGGAAAATAAAAGAATTTAAAAGGAGATACACACTACTCAAAAATCATGCACATACAAATTACTTGCTAGATATATTACTAAACCCTTAAACAACCCCCAAAAAAAAGAAAAAAATAACTTCCATTCAAAACAACTTGCTTTTCTTTAGTTATAATAGCAATGCATAAATTAGCCTATACACAAATAAGTTTGTTGATCCTGCCAGAAGCTTCACTCTAACCTAAATTCACGAACAATTGGTGAAAGAATGAAACTGCATATGACATCTTAGAAAAAATGCCTCTTGATGGTTTTAGAACTTGTTGAGGTTGAAAAGGCCAAAGACAATGACCAAGGAATTTCAGACATTGCATCACTTCAGTCAGTCCAAATTCTATCAATGCCTAAAGAAGATGAAAACATCAAAGCAAACAACCATCCAGATTATTGTATCCTTATTTTCAGGGATTGGAGTGTCATTTACACTTTAACATGTCAGATACAGCCACCCATCCATGCCACACTGTAACCAAGGGAAACTCATTTCACTGAGAGGTATATTCGTACATTTTTAGTTCATGCCTCGACATTATCTTCTCTTTATGTGGATAATTTAGTTCTTCTAAGGGGTATTTAACCTCATGTCTTTAGAAGACTTCACATGTGCGCATATGAAGGCTATCATATCAATATGATTCATTGGGATATGGAATTATTATCTGTTTCTCACATGTCAATACATATTGCTACAGTGGGAGGGGTTTACTGCTAGCCATCACTGATGAAATCTTACTGACAATGAGATTTCGGTTATATTTGCTTACCTTCAAATTTTGGCAGCTCCTTGCAATTGCAAACAGAGATTCATCTGTGATGAATGTCCCACCAATGTTTAGATGTTGTAAAGAAACAGCTCTTGAAACCTGAACAAACAAAATCGGTTGAGAAAGCTATGAAATAAAAGAGAAAGGTAGCATACCACCATATCATAGCTGTTTAAATTCCAAGATGATGAAACTCAATATACGCAAGTGATAACATATAATCCAACATAATAAAAATATACATTCAAACATAAACCCATGAGAAGCATGTCGTATGAGTGTGTCATCTTGCTAGCACATTAACCCAGTCATTTTAATTGACATCCACAAATAACAGAAATTACTGCCATAAAATTCCTTGCAAGATAACATATTCGTGTGTCAAACATGAGGAAACAAACAAATGCCATTTCGTCCACTGCAAGATGGCTCCAGATATGATCAAGCGTCTTAAAACTCTTTGACATTCCTTTGGTATTCCACATAGCAGTTGAGAACATCTTAGAACAGTAGATGTCACCTCCCCTATCAGCAGCCAGCCAAAACTTGGGGCGCCTAATGAAACCTGGCAGTCATCTGGTCCATATGGTTAGAAAGAAATCATCAGGTCTCCCAAAATAGAGTTTTGAGAGTGACTACAACCAAAGAATGAATTAAGAGCCTCACAAAATCATGTTGACTCTTAATAGGAAGGGTTCAAGGGGCTCCATAGACTCTCAGCAACAGACCTCCACTGTTAATGCTACACCAATTACCACACCTACTCCTGCAAAACAGCCCCATACAGAAACCATGGAAGCCAGATCCTCTTAACATACTCAGGACCAGTTGCCCATAAAGATTTCAATACAGGCCAAAACCATTAGCATTAACTAATAGGGCTACATAATTTTGATAGAAATCGGGGCAATATGGAGTGTGGCGCAGCTAACACCCTCACATGGTCAAAAAGAATCTCAGAGGGCCTGCGGACACTAGACATGTGTTTGATGAAATACGATATCCCGTTGGCAGCTCCATATATGGTTCTTTTAGGTCTCCATGTAGAAACGCATTCTAAATATTCATCTGGAATATCTACCAATCATAGGCAAGTGCAAGGATAAAATAACTCCAATCATGTCCAATTCCACCATAGGACTAAATGTTTCATCATAGTCTAGCCTGATTTCTTGATTCTTATCCATCTGCAACTAGCTTTGCATTGAATTGCTCAATTGATCCATCTGCCATATACTTTATTTTATAAACCCATTTCAAGCCCATAACATTTTTTTGGCTTGTTCTATCATGTAATAAGCTCAAATTAGATTTCATAGCATAAGTGCATGGGGAAGAATCAATTTGAGTTTTTGGGCAGCAACCTGAATGTCTTCTTCAATTTTTGGAAGTTTTAGAGGGGAATACATTCGTTTTCATCAAAGGTCAAATGTTGATAAATCAAAATTCTCTTGGTTTTTGAACAATAATAGGGATATCCTTTGCGCATATTATTGTAGCGTATGAATACGCATATCTCAGCTTTCTGCATCAACTTATCCCTTTGACTTCCATCCACATGAACATAACAATAGCATCCAAAAAAAATCACACATCATGCTATTATCTGGGTGTCTTCCAAGAAGAGAAGTATGTCGACTGTCTACCAGTAATCATGGAAGCCAAGAAATCAACAACATGTACCGTAGTGTGAAAAACATCACTCCATATAAATTTGAGTACTCCACTAGCCTCACACACAGGACTGGCCTTGTGGTCTATAAGAGGAAAACTCTTCCTCGGTTTTGTTGTTGGAAATGACATCCCTGAATTTTTCATATTTATACTCTCTCCTTCATCACTTTGGAATCAAGCAATGCAGAATTGAAAATATGACTCAACAAAGGAGCAATTTCAACAAACACATCAAGAACATTAGATTTTTGCTTCAGGAGAAGATCAAAGTGAATCCACCATGATCATCAATGAAAAGAATATACCACAATATTTAGATTGAGATTTAGATTCCATGGAGAAAGGCCCCAAAATTAGCATGTATTAACTGTAAAGGAAAAGTGACAATATTATTATTAACATTGAAAGGAAGCTCACAAGGTTGGCCAAGTTGACAACTTGAACATAAAAAGTGGCTCCTTTTATTATTTGAAATACATGAAATGAAACAGACACTCTTTAGACTCTACAAAAGACTTTGACCACAAATGAGCAAATTGCTGATGCGCTATAAACTCGTCGGCTTTATTACGAAGGAAAACTGAGGAAGACAGATTCACAATGACTCGAAACTCCTTTTCTTGACTATGACCATCCTTGATAGAATTTCTAGATGATGATATAGATTTCCTTTCATATTCCTTCAAGAAATGTGGTTTTCATGCTAAGATCATTTGGGAACAAAGAGTTAGGGCTAAATATCGAGAAGCTCTTCAAATCATTTGATAACTCTAACACAAAAATAAAATTTAACTTAATTTTAGGAACTAACAAGGTATTAGGCAAAGAAAATGAAGGAAAGGACGACGAGATAGCGGCATTTTCAACGCCAGTGACGGAAAGCTGAGTACGATACCCTGTAATGACTTTCCTTTTTACCAACATACAAAACAAAGGAAGAAAACTTATTTGCATCAGATGTGACAAGATTGGCAGCCCCTGTAACCATAACCACCCCAGAATCATCTGAGGGTGGTACTGAAGAAGTCATTCAGGGGTGCAATATGTTCAAATTGGCAATTGAGTGCATTAGGGCAAGAGCACTTCGAAAAACTGGATCGTACTTATGGAAACACTGGGAATACTTTCTTTTTCCACAAAGCTGATATATAATGGTATAGTTGATAGGGATATACTGTTTACCCCGGAATGTGGTTGCTTGTAATGACTAATATATCCATGATTTCCATAATGCTGGGCTAGGTGGATTTAATCACCATCATTCATGAACAAAGGCTTATTTTATTCCTCTCCCTCGGCTTCTAGCAAACATGTTGGATTTATAAGAATCAACATTTAAACATCATGAATCTCTTTCTTTTGCTTCAACTATTTTCTTGAACAAGTCTTCATGTTAGTGCCAGAGTGGGAAAAATTCATTGAAACCGCGTGTAGATAGTATAGACATGACCAATCCTCCAAGCAGGTAGAGTACTTCATCACCATTGCTAACCTCATGGCTAATAGCGGCTAGTTGATCTCAAAATCCTTTCACCTTATTAACATGCCAATGGAAGAACTCTCTCTTTTGCAGTATTGGAGTTGATGAATATGCATTAGGCTTGGCGTAGATGATTGAGAGTAAAGCTCATAAAGAAGATCCCACAACTTGAGACAAATTGTCTTGAGAAAGATTGAAATTTAGCAGCATGTTAAGGACTAGGCTAATACCAAACCAGCTCTCAAAATCAAGGTTGGAAACTAGTATCATCTCTTTCATGCCATCTTTCAGAATAACCTCTTTCGCAGTGACTGCTAGAGGATAAGAGAAGGTTCCATCAGTCTTAAGCCCATGTAAGAGTGGAACAATTTGACTCTTCCATATCAAGAAGTTGGTGAAGTCTAATTTAATAGACACCATATATGGAAGACTTTAGGGGGAGAAAAAACAATTTCAAATGAGGAAGTCATATTTGAGATGAAATGATAAGAAACCTCGGGGTTTAGAAAAACCAATAAGGAAGATTAGGGTTTGAATTCGGAGTTGAGAAGAAGTAAGACTTCAAGCTTCTAAAAGAAGAATCGAGGAGTAGAATAAGCCTTGAGGTTTCTAGAATTAGGGTTTTCTCAGAACTGGGGTTTTTGTTAAGTGATGGAGTAGAAGAGGAGTGGAGTCCAGGTTTCTAGTGCTTCCCTATATTTTGGATGGCACTAAGGTTCAAGAGGTAATTTTTATTTATTTATTTTGAGAGAAACAAGTAATGTATTCGGGGAAAAAAAAAGGGGGGGGACAATGAAAGCAGTACGAAGGACGAAAGAGAATATTGAAAGAAATTGTATGAGAAGTTGGGATGAAGAAAAATATATGAAGTCACCAGATCTGATCCGGGACTCTCGGATCTCATTGAGAGACAACGGACGGCATTGGGATTCATAAGATCTGAAGTAGAAAGGAAATTTCATATCTATTTCAAGAGAAGAATGAATCAGGTGAAATAATATTCATTGAAAGTGGAAAGAAATTGAGATGACATAGAGGGGGTTGGGGTTTTTAGAAATAAAATTTGAGATGAGAATGAAATTAGTATCCAGGAAAGTGGATAGAATTAGGAACTGATGAGATGGATAATAGGGTTTGAGACAAAAAAAAAGAGCTAGAATCAAGAAAGGGAAAAAACTGAATTAGGGTTTGACACTCAAGAAGGCAAAGAAATAGAGTTAGGGTTAGATGCCACCTTTCAACGAAATCCTCTTGAATTGATTTGCAACCTTAGCTTTGATATGATGAAAATTATTCAAGAAGGAAAGAAGAATAAAAGACCAATTCCTCCTGATGATTTGAATCTTTTTGGACAAAATGGGATAGATTCAAACACAGAAAGAGGATTACACGGTAAAAGAAAACTGAGAATATAGAGACAGGGAAAACATGGACAGAAATTAGACAGATATTTTAAAAGCAACAAGCAATCATGAGACTTTAGAGATAACAAGGTAGGATAGTGAATCTCCATTTTTCTCGTGCTTTTGATGTAAATCCTTTCTATATCTTCATGTATTTTGAGAATAAGACATTTTCTTGGTTAAATAAATTGTAACAAAATGTAAATAACAAAGCATTCGCAAGTGATCAAGGAAAAATGTACCCAATTTATATTAATGAATAGCCCCAAAAGAGTGAATTACAGTTTATCATTTTTGTTCTTTCTTATTTCTTGAAGGTTAGAAATGCAATTTTGAAGCAAACAATCCATGGCTAGAGAGGGAGCCCGCAAACCTTCCCTTTTTACTAGAGCAGCAGAAATACCCATCACACAAACCTAGTGTAAAGTGCCCACTGCACAATTTTGAACATAGTTTTTCTCCATTTGGAATTTTTTGTGACTCCAATAGCTCATACGCCATACAATTTTGTATACTCCTAATTTTTTTGGTTGCTAAAAATGTTGGTACACACAATATTCAAAAAATTATGCAACACATACATAACCTTTTTCTCATTAATGATTAAAAGAGGAAAATTATGATCATCAAATGCAAAAAAGAGTGATAAACTCAGTGTTCAAAAAAGCGGACCTCCCATGTCACACCCCAAGATTTATAACACTGAAATCCCTGAGATGTAACAGTCTATCTTTAACAAAACGAAATTTTTCTACTTCACCATTAATTGCACTAAAACAGATTTTTCCATTTCTAAGAGTCTGTACAAAGTTTACTCATAACTAGTATTAACATGAAGGTTTAGATATACATCTGTTGATAGGACAAAATTTACAATAGTGAATTTGAACAAAAGTCACAAAGAGAAAATTTCATCATAACTATGACTTCTTCCAAAGTTGGTCTTGTTGTGCCTTCAACTAGGGAGGCTGCAATTACCCTGAAAATTTTTTACCATAGTTTGATGAGTTTGGCTACTTAGTAAGTGATCATCATAGTCCTAAAAAATAATCATAGTTGGAAGCTGTAAGCATTTTCAAAAAGGGAAGTCGATTAGAAACAATGCGAGCCAAAAAGCATTTATGGATAACAATTTCGCTTTCAGAAATGCACAATTAAACATAATCCAAATGATTGAAATGCATATAAATATTTTAACAGCTCAAAGGATTTCACAAAATACCCTACTGGCGTCTCAAGTAGGTCACCTATATACCCCACCAGCATCCTGGATGGGTCCAAACAATCCCTGCAGGTCCAAACATACCTCACCGGCATCCCGGATGAGTCCAAATAGTCCCTACCGGCATAACTAGATAGGTCCAAACAATCCCTGCAGGTCCAAACATACCTCACCGGCGTCCCGATGAGTCCAAATAGTCCCTAGCGGCATAACCGGATAGGTCCAAACAATCCCTGCAGGTCCAAACGTACCTCACCGGCGTACCGGATGAGTCCAAATAGTCCCTATCGGCGTCCCGGATAGGTCCACACATACTTAAATTATCTCATAAACTCTTTAACATCAGAAAGCATCAACATCGTATATTCAAAGTATCATTAAAATCATTAACAGGAATTCACTTGAAGCAACTTAAACAATTACTTTCATTGAAATATTTGTAAGTAACCAATCAAACAATTTGGATAAAAATTGCAGAAAGGTAGCAGATCGAACAGGTATATTTGAAATGGAATCCAATAGGCAGTCGATTATCAATTTAAGAGCTTTTATAGAAATCCAAGGTTAAACACATAAATATCACAATTTTATGGAATATAATTTCATAATTAATTATTTTACAGGAATAGGTAAAACTTATAGTATCTAAAATTCATAGACAAACAAAAATACAATTAAATGCAGAAATGCGTAAATCTCACAGTATTGGCAGTATTATAATTAACTGCAGAAATATCAATTTTTCACATAATGATTTTACCAGAAATGACATCACTTACACATAAATTTTACAGTGTCTAAAAGTCATAATAATAGGCAGAAATTTTATTTTTAATAATTTACAATGTCTAAATTTCTAATAATAATAATTTTAACAGAAAAAAAATGATACCATATGCGCATAAAATTACAGTATAAAAATGGTGAACAGACTATTTTTCAGGATAATGAGATCATTTACCTATAATATTTGAGAGGGAACTTTCGGTAAAATTCGGCTAGAGAGAAGGAGTTCACTGCGTTCTTTAATTCACAAAGAGGGCTCAACGTTACTGAGAGGAAGGGGCGTAAGAGAGACTGTTTTGCAGAGAGAGAATCCAACTCGTTCTCCTCTTTTTAAACACAAAAAATATATTATTAATCCACCTCATACATGAGGTGTTTAGAAGGTGTTACATTAACACTTAAAGCCCACATCCTTAGAGGACGTGGCACAAGAAACAAAAGGTGAAGGTAAAAAGAGAAAAAAAAAAATGGTAGTCCCTATGGACCAAATTATTTGTATGGACCATCAAAGGTAAAAAGTTTTGTTTTTTTTTTTTATTATTTAAGTTTAGGATTGTTACAACCCAACTCCTAGGTGGTCCAGAAGACCTGGGCGCATCGCCCGGGCTCAGGTGGTCAAATTGTGCGGCAATCCCTAGGCGGTCGCCCAATGCTTGCGCCCCTTCAAGGGGCGGAAATTTTATTTTTTATTTTGTTATGTTGTTTTTTTTTTTACATAAAGGGTTTTAAGGCTGGGTTTTAGGTTCATTTGAAACCTAAACCCACAAGAACCCATTTTAGAGACAAAGAAACTTCAAAGAAACTAAATTTAGTGATTTTCATTGGATCGAAATGTTTCTTAAAGTTACGAAAGACGGATCCAAACATCACTCAGGTAGATTAGATTTAGTTTTGGAGTTCTATAATCCTATTACAGGGCGTTTTTTATTATTTTAGCACTTGAAAAACATCTTAGAGGTGGGAGTTTGGAGTTCAAGCAATCAAAGTAAGTGCAAAACTTTATTTTTTAAACTGCTTGCTTTATTTTGAGATGTCTTCTTCAGGATCTAGTCGAAGTGGAGATTCAATTTGCAAATATACATATAACCCGAATCCAAATGACAAAAATTTCATTAGATGCAATTATTGTAAAAAAGATACAAAAGGGGGCATAAACCGGTTTACGAACCATCTTGCCGGTATTAAGGGAGATGTTGCCCCTTGTAAAAATGTTCCTAAAGCTATCAAAGAGGAGATTAAGCAATATATGAGTTCTGTAAAATAAAAACAGGAATAAAATCCTTGTCATTTCAATATATCTATTTATGCTTCTTCTAGAAGAAGTAATCCGGGTTGGAAGTATGGTTATAACCCAACACCAAACGATAAAAATTGTATAAGGTGTAATTTTTGTGAAAAAAATACCAATGGGGTACTAACCGATTCAAGAAATGCCTTGTTGGTATTAAAGAGAATATTGCTTCTTGTAAAAAGGTTCCTGAAGCTATTCGGGATGAAATTAGACAATTTTTTAATTTAAAACAACCAGAAAATGATGAAAATGAGCCTTGTTCTATGAAAATATCTTCTCCAGGTTCTTCTAGAAATAGTGATCCAGGTTGGAAGTATGGTTATAACCCGAATCCGAATGACAAAAATCGTATTAAATGTAATTATTGTGGAAAAGATACTAATGGGGGCATTTACCGGTTTAAAAAAGAACTTGCCCGCATTAAGGGGGATGTTGCCCTATGTAAAAATGTTCCTGAGGCTACCAGGGAAGAGATTATACAATATTTGAGTCCAGGGAAGCACAAAAAGATAAAAAAGGGTAGAGAAGCCAAGACTCCTAGGTCTCATCTACACATACTAGTAAGAGGGAGGTAGAAGAAGAGGAGGAAGATGCAGATTCAGAAAAAGCAGAGGAGGACGAGCGTTACATTGAAGAGGGAGATGACTCTGATGATGATGGCCTCGAATCTGATGCATATGATAAGGCTTACCCTATTCCTTATGATGATGATGATGACTGAAGACTCTTGGTGTTGAGTGTTGACTGTTGACTATTGTGTCCTAGACTTCAAATTTTCTGAATTTCTATATATTTTCTTTTTCTTATTTTTAGTTTCTACTTTCTAGTTTCTAGTTTCTAGTTTTACTATCTAACTTTTGTGTGTGCAGTCTACATTGTATCAAACTATCAGTGTATGCTTGTATGGTTTTACTGTTTTAGCATTGTATGAAAATATGGATTATGGTCATATGGATTATCAAAATTCTCTTCTCGACTTCTATCTTTTTTTTTTTCAACTGGGATTATGGTCTTATGGATTATCAAAATTCTTATGGATTATCAAAATTCTTATAGATTATCAGAATCAGACTATCCTTTTTTTTTTTTCAACTGGGCCGCTCAGGTTCTGGGCGCTCACCTAGGCGCTGGGCGGCCTGGACCCCCAGGGCCGCTTGGGTGCCGCCTAGCGCTTTTTGAAACTACTGATAAACTCCTAATTAAAAAATTCAATTATCTCATCAAATCCATATATATAATAGCAAGAAACAATCATAAACCAAAGGGGAAAAAAGGAAAATTAGTCGGGACCTAACACCAACCTAAAGACACGAAATTCTCATGCGACATATATATAGAGCATGAATGGTGATAATCCTAGAACAAATTAATCTTTTACCATGAGCCTGAAGGGTGTATATATTTGCCCCAGCATACCATCATTTCAACAATATTTGAAGGTAAAGGAAAATGGTTGTTGAGTTCACCCCAAAAAAAAAATTTGAATGTTTGTTTTATTCATTCAGTGTAAATTATTCAACTAATTCATAACATGCTAGGGAATAATGTTCACAAAGAAAATTGCAATACCATGTCAAATTATTCTAAGATTAATTCAGAAAATTGCAATAGCATGTCAAATTATTCTAAGATTAATTCATTGACAATATGGCGATTCAAAATTTCCTAAAGCCCAAAGGTATGCTTCCGATGTGAAATGAATAAGCCTTTCTCATCACATGAAGTATATTCCTTTTCCTCAGATACTTGCGTCCTAGCAAGTATCATCATGAATATTTTGTTTTCTGATAATATTTAGCACATACCAGCCGAACAACACCTTCATCTGTGATCCCAGCCATTCCCCATAGGGATATTGATGTAAGACTACTACAACAATTTGCCAAAGAGATTTTGTAGAGTCCCTCATCTGTTATCTGGCAGCCCCAGCAACTCCTTGAACTACACAAGCACCATAGAAGTTAGCCATGATCAAGAAATTATGCACATGCAGCCAATGTAACATTAAGAATTGATACAATTAGTAAACAGATCCCGTACATGATGCAACATATAAATAATTTTGATAGAAATACTCAACACTGGCCCTATGTGATGATACTTATAAGGTGAAATGTACGACTATGAACATCTACCTGTCACACAGTATAGTTTCATATACCATCTAAAAGTTGAAAGAGAAAACCTGTTCATGAATCAATGGTGCCAAAAAAAAGAGAAAAAAAAAAAGAATTTACATTCAACAGAACACTGGCATGGAGATTGAGGGAAGAGAAAGGAAAAAATGTGTCAGATGGGAAGGTGAAATGATTGGAAAGATAACATTCATGCAAACATTCAAGGTAACCAGTATCTTGTGTTGATTTGTACTCATTACACAAACATAGCATACACTGGAATAGTAATTAGTCACAAGGGCACTATGGTCATCTAAAAGAGCATTGACCTTTATATCATTTGTCCTTGCATGTAGTTAAATATAAGTGAAATGTCACTCCCACAACCCTTAACTAGAAAGTTGTACCAAGAAACACAAATAAGATACAGATAGGAAGAACATAATTAAAGAAATTCTATGGGTATGTAGATCAGATATAAAGTCCTTGATCATGGCCTACTCCAATACCATGTTAAGAAAGAGAATGTCAAGAAGAGGAATATGATTTGGTGACAATGAATTTAAATGGTGTATAAAGTAATAGAAAAAGGCAAATAACAGTTACTCCTTATGGGCTACAAACTCTAAAACTGACATACTAACATTCAATGAAAAAAGATAAAACAACAAAAGACTAAATGACAAAATACAATTTCACGTAAGACTTTTCCTATAAAATATAAAAACAAATTAGGGATACATCCCTTGCGTTAAGGAACAAGAAAGGTGCATGAAATGTGACAAAGTTGGTTGGCAGCTCTAAGAACATGAAAGTGAAGGAATGGGGTTGGTCAACACACATACATGTAGAACAGGCCAATTTTTTCGCTTTAACTATAGGTTGTCATGCTGTGGTATGGGAAGGGGCATTTTCTACAACAATCTGGGCAATTGACTAGAAGGACCTATGACATATAATTTAAAACTAGAGAACTACTGTGTGAGCTACTAGTGCCAATTTATCATCCGATCAGCCACTCTCATTCTTTATCTAAATATATAAATTACACACCAATCAACACCAAAAAATATATACCTAGACTTTCAGAGGATCCTATTCAATCCTGTCAAAACGGATTATAGAAACACAAAACCACAATTCCACCACGATTTTCACTCAGTTCTCCACCACCAGCTCTAGTCAAAAGTGTTTGAAGGGAGATCCACAGGTATTCAATTAGTAGCACCTCATAAATTTTTCCCCAATGACAGACATGATGTGGATGGAACTTCCATATTACCTAATTACTAACCAGTGTAGAAACATGAGGCCAATGTCAACTGTTGATTGAACTATAACCAGCTATTAGTTAGTTATAGGCTCTCAACATTCCAAAGAAGCTTAAGAAACATCAAGGCAGCATGATTAACTTAGCTCTACACATAAGCAACCCAGCATGGAGATCAAGAAACTTCAATTGTTGTTTGGCCATCCCTCCAACCCAATAAACAGACATATTTCTAATTATTTGATTTTCCAAAGCTAGCAAACTTACACTCAATCATTGATTATACAACATGTCAATTAGCCGGGTATTGTAAGGTAACACTCAGTACAACATAGAATATTAACAAAATAAAAGAATAAAAGAGGAGAGAGGAGAGTAACTAGCAGAAAGAAGAGGCTCTGTGGGGAGTCTCTTACGACGAAAAACAAAAACAAGAAAAAGAGAGATCAATATAAAAAAAAGAGCATAGGGATATAACAAAGATTTTTTTTTTTTGACGAGGAGAGATAGAACAACAGGTGATTAGAAGATATAGAGTCACCTGGAAGGAGTTATGCCAGGGGACTGGCACCCGAACTGGCTTCTCTACGACCAAATAAGTGATGACTTCGGGAAACCATCCATGTCCATCAGGAGAGTCCCTGATGCAGATCAGCTTCTGGAACAGTGTACACCGTCTTAAACCCAAAATAAAAAAGACAATAAATACCCAGATTTACACATAGGTATAGGGTTAGGCGAGTTCATTTGAGAACCGTTGGATATAGAATACCCACATTGCTTAAACAAGCATTTCAATTTTTTCAACTCTTGCATTTCTTGCATTCTCAAATGAATGAGTACATATCTAGAGCCTTCAAAATAAGTGAAAAAGGTGCCAAATACCACTTGTACAAAATTTAAGTCGTTTACAATTCCATGGGCAAAAACTATGTGCTAAAAGTAAAACTACACACTATTATAAAATCATGGGTAGAAAGTAAAATCATGGACCAAATTTTACAAAATCATGATTAAAACAAAAGTAGACTATTCTATGACAAAAACATTTTCGTTTTCAAAGGCTTTGTCTAACTTTCCAAGTGTCTCTATTATAAACCAATCTTCTTGGATTTCTGTCTACATGAATAAGGCTCATATCTATTTTGGATCTTTCTGAGGACATTGGGTAGCAAGATGTGCTTCCTCTCTACAGGTAAAACATGGACCTTTATTCTTCATTTTAATTCCTTGACTCTTGGAACAAAATTTGTAGGGCTTGAAAAGACCTCCTTTTGTGAATTATTTGAAATTTTGGAATACTATAAGTGTCAGCTACTTCTATAGTATCATGGAGTTCTCGTCCAATCATTTATACAAGATTTTCCTGAATTTGCTTTATAAAAAAGCTTCTTGATATCTGCTCTTGCATAGCAAACCACATTAGATAAAACCAAAGATTCTAACTGCACATCCCTTGCAATAATTATTTCAATAAACAAATTTGGTATGTTACCTACCATGGCTGCAAGATATATGGCATTGCAAGTTGGGGTATTGTGTAGCCTTAGCCTGTAGCTTTCTTTAACAAAACTTTCTTAAAAAATTTCAAAATCATCAGTATTTCCGATCCTTCTTTTAAGCAAGCACTATATCAATAGCTTTTTGATGTGTATTCCCCAACAAATTCTATAATCACTGTAGAGCATAGTTTGGAGAAGCTAATTCTGCAATTGGGTTTTGTTCAATCATCAGAAAAATGCTCCCACCATCATCTAGTCTTCCCCTACAGTAATCCTGTCGCTTGATTGACCATATCATTATTAGCCCATTTTTTCGCTTCTTGAACTATAAGGCATCTATATATCAAAGAAATGATCCCTTGCCTTGCTTTACTAGGAGATAATTAATAGATACTCAAACTAGGAATATCAACCCCAATATCCCTTATTCCACTATTTCCCAAAGCAGATATTCTCATCATCTTTGTTTGCCCAATTTCTGACAATCCATCCATCATTTCTCTTTCTTGAGCATTTTTGTTTAAGAACGAAAGAATACTTGAAGACTGAAGATAAAATAATTCTAAGGATTCATTCGGCTGTCTCTTTTTGTATGCTTCTTTGACATCAAATTATTTTTTCACAAGGTTACATAGGAATGGAACTTGAGACTCTTAATATTTTCTCTTATTCTTTCTTTCTTTCTTTTGTTTCTTCTTTTTTCTTTTAGCCAATATTTCTAAATTTATCTTTATTTATCTTATTTGAGCGTCTATGGATGAAATATGTTTCTCAGCAAAAGCTGGTTCAATGGAATAAATAATAAATAATTTAACTACATTAACTCATTTTTTGGGTCTTTTCTGAATTCACATCATGCATGACAAGGTAGTTCTCATCTGCTTACAGTTTAGAACCAACTTGTTCCTCCATTTGAAAAGGCAGAATTGTTGAGCAGGACATTTTTGGTGGCCAATCTCCATCAATTAAATTGTCTGCCACTGCTGGTTTCTTCTTGTGCCTTGAAAATGTTCATCATTCGGCTTAGGGCAATATGAGCAACGACTATGTTAGAAGAGTCTAAGACTTTTCTTGGAGAAGGTTCTCTTTCGATTGTGGGAAGAATTGCGGGTAGAGAATTTGTGTAACTGGATGTAGGTAGATTTTTATTCACAAGTTTTAAAGAAATGCTGGAAAACTGAATAGGTTTTCTATAAGAACTTTTTGGAAAAAGTTTAAATTCTAGTTTTTGTCTTTTGAAATTTGTGGGATTCTAAATATCAAAAATAGCTGGAAATCTTGTTATGAAATTTTTATTTACAATGGTTCCTACTTCTAACACATAATTTGGATATTTTGCAAACTTAACTCCATAGTGTAATTTTGAACATGTAATGGCTGAACTAGTTAAGTGGAATATACATCGGGATGCAATAGTTACATATACAGAACTAGAGAGTAGTTCTATACCTTTAATTTCTATACAAATCATGAAAGCTTTTATAATAAACTCATCATCTACACTCAACAAACATAGGGAGGACTGAATGGATACCATCTTTATCCAAGAATCCTTAAAATTGACACAACAAGGCTTTATCCCACTCATAGTGCCTAATATCTAATAAAGACACGAAATTTTCTGCATCTAAATTATAATTGAAAGGTAGATGTACTCAGATGTCAATTTGTCCAATATGAACATAATGAACATATTACTAATTCTTAGACTTCCATTTGTCAACTTCTGATCTTTCAAAAAATGGCAAGAATGAAAGAAGTTGTTATATGGAACTCAAGGTATTAAATTCAATTTTTTTTTATTCAATATACCTAAATTCCACTTACATGAGCCACTAAATATTACGGTGAATAAAAAATAATACCTTAGATACAACCTAGAATATTTATTTTCACTACCAAAAGAAATAGAAATTATCCAACAGCTTTAAACTAATTTTAGTACAAAACAAGTTCCTTAAAATTCACATAAAATAATAAATAATATTGAAAATTAATTAAAATTACGGAGAAGACTTATTGAAAGATGCTTGGAGTTATCCTCCCAGGTCT